CTACCAGGTTTGGGGCAGAGGAGACTTAAATGCTGGAATCCCTGAGGCAAAGGGCAGAAGAAAGCGCAGTGTATACGCATCTACCTGCCCGATCATTAGCTCCACAACATCTCCGGGGCTTCCCTGGCTAGATCTGCACTGTGAGAGCTTTTAAAAGGATATACAAAGAGGCAGATGGTAGGAGCTGGCTCCCTTTCTCAATTTTGTTTTGCTTTTCATTACTTTCCCCTCCCTAAATAGGGTCAAAGCTGCTGCATGATTAAACTGTGGCCAGATAAGCATGATTTTTTCCATTTTATTAGACAAGGAAAGGAAACTAACATTTAAAGAAAGTCTCATGTTTGCGAGATACATGTAATCATCATGGTCCCCTGAGAGGTAAATATTATCATCCGCATTTTGCAGATGAGGAAATGAGGGCTAAAAGAGGTAAGGTAACTAGCACAAAATCACTCTTAATAACCCAGGTAGTGAGCTTCCCATCACTGGTACCCTGGCTGAAATTTGAACCCAAGTCTGTAAGGACCATATTCTTTTCATAATGCTTCCTGAAGTTCAGGAGACAGCATGGTATACTCAAATGATGATGCATTTTATCATCAGACAGAGGTTCAAAGCCAAGCTCTTGCCTAGGTATAGAAACTTGTATTCCTCCCTTTGTTGCTTCCTTGGCAATGTTTTTCTGGATTTGAAGACTTAGTACAAAAAAGTGTTAAGTATCTCCTTATTACAATAATTTTTATATTGATTACATTTAAAATGATAATATTTGGGATATGTTGAGTTAAAGTATTTGATTAAAGTTAATTTTACTTGTTCCTTTTTTAAAACATTTTTTATGGGGTACTTGAAAATTTAAACTTAATGATGTGGCTCACATTATATTTCTATAGAACACCTCCACTCTAGAAGAATAAACATGGGAGGATATTATCCATCTTAGTGCAATGAGCCAAGAACATCTATCATGTGACCTCCCCAGGAAGGCACACATATTACCCCCTTTCTGCGTCATTTAAGGGGCCGCTGGAGGGAGGGGTCCCTGTGGAACCCTTGGTCCTGCGATAATAAGGAGAAGGTCCCAAGTGATAGCCGGGGAGCCTCTCGTTCAGCTCCCCTTGAGGATTCCTTAGTTTTTGTGTCCTGCTTCTTGAGAGACAGTTGTTGTAATTCTTTCCCAGACTCCTCCCCTCAAAAACAAAACACAAAAACCAAAAACCAAAACAAACAACCCAGGGCCGGCGATCAGATAAAATAAATGTTAGTTATTGCCATGGCCCTTTAGCCATCTTTGCTTTTCTTTTGTTTTGTAGAAAAAAAGTCAAGGGAAATATTTTGAGTGAAGTCCGAGGTACAATAACTTCATTGGATTGAAAGAGAAGAGGAACCACTGAATTAACAATAAGGTCTTTCTCATTAGATTAGTGAAGCTGGGAAAGGCCTTTGGAATTGGTCCCCCTCAGTGCTCCGTCCTCAGAAAGTGAAGCTCCGAGTTGAGTGACTAAGGCTCTTGCCCAGGGTAACAGACCATCCAGTCTGGACGGGGCCTGGCACTGGGTCCCCTGATCCCCCTCCTCGCTGTATGCCTGCCACACCGCACTGCCCCTTTTTTTCTGAGATGCTTCCTTCCCAGCTCCTCCCTCTCAAGCCTCCCTCCCCTACCCCCAGCATGGTACTTCATCCTCTTCTGCCTTGTGCCTCTGACCCAGTGTCTTCCCTTTAGTATAAGGGATGGCGGAAATGGGAGTCAAAAAGATCCAGACAGGTAAACGGATAGAAAGGAGGAATTAACAAGATAAAATGGAAGGTTAAAATAAAAAGACTTTGAATAGCCACTAACAAAGGGAGCTGGGGAGACTTTCTTGACCTTAACAGAGGCGCAAGTGAAAAGGCAGCATGTGTGCGTTTGGAGGAGAATGGGTTTGAACTCACAGGCTCAGGGCTTGAGGCCTGGGCATGTGGCATTGGAAAAAGCCTTCGTTTCCTCATTTTTAATTAACCTCAGTGGATTGTTGTGAGGAGTAAATGAGACCATGTTTCTGAAAGGACTTTGTGATCTGTGAAGCACCGTACCCGTGGTAGTTATTAGCATTCATTAGAAGCTAGATGTGGTTGGCTGTGAAAGCAAGATGAGTTAGCAGGGTGACGCGGTTGCCAAAGAAAGCTAATGTGACATCCAGCGGAAGGGATGCTGCGCTGCACTTGTCCACCCGTTTCTGGGGCACCGTGCTGTGTTGGGTTCTGGGAATCGCACTTTAAGAGGGACCTTAGTGAACTGTTGTTTTTCCAGAGAAAGTTGCAAGAATAGGTTAGGGTCTGAGAGTCATGGCATATAAGGGATGATTTAAGGATTTAGAGGATGTTTAGTGTGGAGGAAGAAAAAATAACGCTTAGAACAAGGTAGCTGTTTCTAAATATCTAAAACTGCCTTGCAAAAGAGAGGTGAGATTTTATTTTGTGCTGCTAGTGGCCAAGCCAGGGCTCCATGATAGGAGTTAATGGCAGGCAGATTTGGGTGCCATAGGAATGGATCTAAGGCTCACGGAACTGATCCCAAATGGGCTCCTTGGAAAGGTGGTGGTCTGTCCATCAGCAGAAGGCTTCCAGCCGAGGTGGCTGCACACGGGCCAGGGCCTGTACCGGGCAGTCTGGCTGGGAGGTTCAGCCTGTTATTCTCTGTGATCCCTCCAATCTCCAATTAGGAGGCTGTGATGATCTCCTTTGATCTTTCTTTCTGATCTACTTCCCTCCCCATTTTTGTTGCCTTTGACTTTCTGTCCCCTGTGAATAGCTTCAGGGTTTTAGATTTGGAAATATTTCTGTAATGATTGATAGTCTGGTTTAATGGAAAGTAGGAGGGAAGAACATTTAAAAACAAAGGCAGTTTTGTTACTTTTAAGGACACACAGTAAGTAACCTGTTACCTTGGGGAAGGAGCAGCAACAAGGGTCCTGTGTGTCAGAAAGTCTTGTAAATGCTACAGCAAATGGCTTCCTCTTTGCTGGTGTTTCAAGCAAACACAACTGCTAAAGGCCTTTGTTCTTGAATGGATCAGCATCTTGTTTAAGCAATTCTTTTATTAGCCTCAGACTTCCAAAAGAATTCTTATTGTAAGAATTCTATACCATAAACTACTTTCTGGATTCATAATTTAAGTGTTTTGCTGATTTGGTTGTATTAACTTTGGTGTAGGAGAGTTTTAAAAAAAAAAAATTTGGCTCCAGAAAAGCCATTTTCTTGAGGAAAATATTTTTCACGCATAGTTAGTGTTGCCATTGCCGGGAGGGTGAGAGGCCAGCTGAGTCTCCCCAGTGGAGTGGGCAGCTGAGCTATTTCCAGTATTTTGTTCTGCCCCCAAGTAGCAATTATGCTTCTGTCTCACAGTGCCCCGCCTCAAACATCCCAGCCTCCGTTTCAGAAACCTCCACCTAGACCGAGGCACAAAATAGAACTCGGCAGATCCAGGTGGAAGGGGGAGGGAATGGGTAGGAATGAGTAAGAGTTTGGTTAGGATCCCTGAGGCCAGAGTCCTTGCTCAGCCCTGAGGATGACGGCAGAGATGTGGAGAAGCCTGAGGGTTCAGGGGGTGCGTTCCAGGGCTTTTGGAACCTAGGTCAATTGAGGCAGGAATTGCTGGAGAGAGAACAAAAGTGGCTCTTCATACCCCTGGAACTTGCCAGTCAGGCCAGGCTGGGCAGGAAGGGAGGGGCCAAAAAGGTGGCAGGAGTCTGCAAGCAGCTGCAGAGCATCCACAGCCTCATCCTCTGGAACTGCTGTCCCATTGCAGGCCCCGGACTCCAGGGAGCTATGTTGAGCCCACACCTCCGTGCCTAGCCCCACCTAGGTGCGACCTTGAACACTAGAGTCAGGATAGCATCAGTCCGAGGCCAGAAAATGGACTTGTTCCTGGGGTCTAAATTCTGGGGAGAGGGACCAGCCAACTCTGATGTGAAGTCCACAGCTTCGCTTTCCATCTGCTCTTTCGTTCCAGGCCTGTGTCCTCTCCAGGTGTCTCCTGCCTCAGGTTGCTCTTCTACAGGCTCCAGTTTCTGAATTGTTCTAACACCCCGGCTTGGCTTTGTCCTCCAAAGTTCCTGCCTCCAGGGTGGTGTGGTGCAGTGGTCCTCAAACTGTCATAAGCATAAAATGTCAGATGGCAGGGTCCCCGTCTCAGAGATTCTGATCGGGGAATTCTGAGCGGGGCCTAGGCATCCGGACCTCAGGCGTTTCTTTTTCCTTTTCTTTTTTTAAAAGATTTTATTTATTTATTTTTAGAGAGTGGGGAAAGGAGGGAGAAAGAGAAAGAGAGAAACATCAATGTGAGAGATGCCTCTCACATGCCCCCAACCCAGGGACCTGGCCAGCAAACCAGGCATGTGCCCTGAACCAGGTATTGAACTGGCGATACTTTGCTTTGCTGGACAACGCCCAGCCCACTGAGCCACACAGATCAGGGCTGGGCCTCAGATGTTTCTAATGTAAGCAGTTCATGGGTCACGCTTGGAGAAGCACTGGTTTAGAGGAGAGAGCATGCATGTTGGGGTATGAGACAGAACTGAGTTTCTTGTTGTATTACTTGTTGAGCCAGCTAATTATCATATCTGAGTCTTTGTTTTCTCACCTACAAAATGCTAACCACTTCATAGGAGAGTTTTCAGATGTCAGTGAGAATATATGAAAAAAATATATACATATATAGTGTTTAGCAAGGGCTTATTTAATAGGATTTTTGGCCTCCTCCCCCCTTGCTTCAACATCAGGAAAGTGGCAACAGAGAATTTCAATTCTTCCCAGTCCTGGAATATCAGCGGAACCTCCCTGGCAGTGGGCAACTGTGGAAAGGTTACAGAACAGTCCAGGGGAGCATGCATGTCTTTAGTGCTCTGTGGCTGATCAGACAATCTGGATTTCTGAAGCAATGGCATGAAAAGAAACCACCAGGAGGTCAGAGGTCAGCCATCTGCTGTCATTTTTATTTTCAGTAAAACTATAGTCAGGACATACATATACACAATGCATTACAGAGCAAGTCCATGGCGCTCTATGCAGGCGGATGGGCAGGCTGGAGCAGGCAACCACCATTACAGAACAACATATCTATGGGTGGGGGAGGCAGTGGAGGTGGACAAGCAGTGAGGGAAGGATCTGGACCCCGGCACTATGCTAACTAGTTACTGCCTCAGTGTCAGCTGCTAGAGCCTACATTTATGGGCCACAGTTGAGGTGTGGTATGACCTGTAGCTTTGACTTGTATCCAGGGTCACCCTCAAACACTGAGGTTTAGCTGAGTTCCTTAAAAAGACGCAGTGTTTTTCCATTAATGGATTGAATTCCCTCCTAACACACTGGCAGTTACAAAGGGTAAAATAGATTTGATACACAGAAGGGAAAACGCTTACACTTCAGGGATTGAGTGTGTGCATCTGTATATGTGTGCGTGCAAGTGTGTGTATCGTTGGTGGGCTTATCAAAAAGTTTCCTTGTAGCTTTTTAATTTTTTTTCATGTTGGCCCCTCCAAATCAGTTGATTTCTGAGCACGATCAGTCCTCAAGAGAGAAGATCGATTCTCAACAGAAGGGCTGGCAGTAGCCCTCCTGGGTCAGCAGGGTGGGCAAACTCATGAGAATGAGGACCCTGCAGTCTCTCCAATGGCTGTGGCATTTACCCCAGGTGAAGGCAATATCACTGCAGAGGGAAGGTCTTTAGAGCCTCTTTGGTAGATCAAGAAAGAGATCTCACAAGGCAAAGGGACATGTCCAAGGTCATGTGGCTGAGACAGGACTGTAGCTTTCTCCCCATGATGCTCTTGTTTCCCGGGCAGAGTTCCTTCATTCCTCATACCATAACGGGAGGTGGAATGGCTCCCTTCCTCAGCAGCCTCTAGGGGACATTTGTCAGACTTTTCCAAGATAGTAGGGTCTTACTTGTTTTCTGCAGAGAGAGAAAAGCATCCATCAGAACGCCCTTCACTGGTGGCTTCTTGGAATTATGATTGCTTGCTAGCTATAAGAATTTCTCTGAGATATCTACCAAGCATTGAGGACAATGATACAGAGAGGCACAAAATGTTCTTCTTCCCATTCTGTGGAAGAGGGAAGCTGTGCTGTTAGCTGGGTCAGCAACTTGCTGTAGGATCCTCTTCTTTTCAGTTCAGTCTCCTGCCTCTTGCTATCTAGGGAAGGAATAAGTAAATAAAATGCTGCATGTTTTGAAAGCTGCCTCCTCTTCAGGTGATTTAGTCACTTGACTCACTGTCTCTACCAAGATTGTAAGCTACCTTGGCTAGTTCACAGAAATCAAAAAGGGCAACACCTGGAGCGTCAGACACTGTCCGAGTGTAGACCTGGCTTGCCCCTTACCCAAGAGTTTGGAAGAATGGCTTTGGAAAGAAACTCTGTATATGGCGACATAGGAACCAATGCTGAATGATCACCATTCATTATTCAACTACAATTGTCAGAGCACAGACATTATGCTATGCTGGATATCACCTCTGCATGCAAGATTGGACTTGACATCAAAAGAAGGGCCTTTCCAGTAAGAGTGGCCTATGATTCCAGAACTCCCTGCTCAATGGACTTTTCATGTTAATTAAAATAGTCTATCAGAATTGCGAGTCCAGTTGAGTTCTGCTTCCTTGTTCTGTTTTTTGTTGATTTTACAGAGACTAAACACTCTTAACTTCTATGGCCTCTGTCTCTTCTTGGTTTCTGATTCTGTTCTTTTCATGTGGAAACTAAAACCCTTATGATCTGGATGATCATCTATGTCATTTGGGGGTTAAACTTCCCAACAGTTCTATACGCACAAAGGTACTTTGTGCCTGAGATGTGGCTCAAAAGGTAAAGAGAAAAAGAAGAGTAGTATTGAAAAGAGGGGCTTGAGGTAGACATTAAGGACAATTCGTTGATGGGAGAAGTTGTGAGACACTCGAATGCATCCTGAGGTTGGGTTCTGAACAATGTCCTCTGATCTTTTCTGGGCCTTTAAAGCACAGGCTTGCCTGGAGATAACAGAGTGGGCAGATGTCCCCTTAAGATCCCTCTGATCCTCTGATTTTATGTATGAGCACTCTAAAAATAGAATCATGGGTGAAAAGAAGAGAAACATCATGAGAATAAAAGAAGAAAAAGTGAGAGAAGCAGGCCCTGGGAGTGGCTGGGGGTTGAGAACAGCATGTGATGGGAAAAGAAAAAGAAGTAAGAGGGCTAGGAGACAGTGCCTGGTAAATAGGCATTGTTAAACAACAAAATATTTATTAATGAATATATGAATAATTGCATTAATCATCCTCTCCAGCCCCATTTTACATGTCGGAAAACTGAGATATAATATGGCTTGCCCAAGTCTCTGTTGTTAATTGGTGTCAGGATAGGAAGCAGAGCTGGCCCCACATGAGGAGCAGTGCAGGGCTGGGCAGAGGCTGAGGAGTGCACTTCCCGACCGATGCTACGTGGCCAGGAAGTGCCCTTGGGTCGTGGTCTGTGAAGTGCAGGGAGGAGAGCACAACAGACCACAGACTCAGACTCCAGTCTTCTCTGGTGCTGACTACAGCTACCCAGGCCTGGAGTAACTGAGGCACCAAGTAGGATTACTACAAAGGGCCTCCTGGGGCCTCCTATTCCTCAATGGCCAGAGAAAAACCAAATCTTGACCTGAAACCTCCCTTCTCTTGAGAGCATGACCTTCCCTTGTTTCCTCTGTCTCTTCACTTCTCTTTTGACTTTCCTGAGTAGAGTTCCCTAATAGTTCTGCCCTCCAGGAAATGGAGGCTGGGAAAGGCAGGATCAACTTCCTGCAGATGACTTGCCTTTGAGAACATCCAACAGATTTCTGTAAATGTCCTTCATTTTTCCTTTGGGGGAAGACGGGAATTCTCATCTATTTCATCTCTCTCTACCCTAGACCCTGCTCACAAACATCTAAGAAGGGACATTTGAACTAGAGTCCTCTGGGACATCAAGGAGGCTTCTGTCCTCAGGTCCCATTTTATTCTTGCATTGGTCCTCTGGGGGCGATCCTAAGAGCTGAGAAAAGGGGCAATGCCACCCTAAAGGGGGCTCCACACTAGCGTGTGAACTTGGTCTTTTGGAGACTTATTTTCTCCCATCAGGAAGCTGTGCCAGGTTTAATCACTGGGACATAGGAGGGAACATTGTGCTTCTTCAGCTCCCTGCTACAAATGACTAAGGCACAGCAGTACAAGTAAGCCTCTCTGTTCCAAGGAGATAGAGAAAAGAAAAATCTCATTGCACCAGGCAACGTGAGTGTGCAGAGACCCAGCCGACATCCATCTCCCTGGAAGGCCTGCCAGCAGTTCTTACATAAGCTCCAGTGAGCTCATGTGTTTTCACGCCCATCAGCAGATTCTGGGCTTCAGGGCCAAGGGTTATGCTGGAGGAGTGAGCTCAGAAGAGATTGTGTTCTTCCAAAGAGGGGGCGCTTTGGGAAGAAAACAAATTCTTACTCTCAGGATGGGGAAAACAATTTTCATTTCCATGTTATTCCACAAAGATGTTCATTCCTCACGGCAGCAATGTCAGGAAAGGAGCAGGTGATGCTTGGTCTTATGAACGCCATGGCGTGGGGGAAGGGAGGGTGGGGTGGGTATTTAATGAGTCAAGGTATGCGGAGAGTGCTCTATGAAACATGGCTTTTCCTCCTTATGTGTGGCAAGCCAGATGGGTGCTCAGTTAGATCTGCCAGCCACAGGCTGGGAATCAGGCCATGGTTGAGTATCAGGTCTTGCTTTCCATTTGTTGCCACTAGCTCTGCTATTCTTGAATAGGAGACAGGTTGAATATTCTGGAAACTGTGGTCACTGATTTTACCTGCTTCCCTTTTGTTTGTGAGAATTGCTGAGCCAGCAGAATTTGCAAGCAAACCAACCAACACCTTGCTCACTATCTTGTCCAGAACATCTGCAGTCAGCTTGCCCTGACCACAGCATGTAAGCACAGAGCAAGTGGAATGCTACCCACCTCCCTAATACTTTGCCTATTGAAAATAAAATCTCACCCTGCATAAGTGAGCCAGACATTCTCTCGGGGGTTGACACACTTCCAGTTCTGTTATGCCCTAGTGGAGGGGAGGATCTGTCTGTACATGTCAGCAGCTTCCCCTTCCCCCAGCCTACCTTCATATTCTTCACATATGGGGACAATGATAATGATTTTTTATATAATTAAGTGAACACACAGATAAGAGGTTTCACCACTTGACCTGTCCAAAATAATACTTTTCCCAGTCTTTCTGTAACTACTAATGCTTAAAACAATTTTTATTTCAAAAATAAGAAAACGCATTGTTCAGGTAAGTTTCTAACTCCTTCAAGTGCTTTGCATTTTCTCTCTGGCATCATTAGTGCTTCCCAACTTAGTGTCTTTTGAGAATTTAGTTAATGTGTTGTTTACCTTCCTCTTTCCAGATCAATTGGGAACATTTGGAGTATTTTGAATACAGCCAAACCCTTCCTTGGGTTCCTCTTTCTTTTATAAATGATTCAGTCAGTGGAGAAATGACTGAGCTCATATGTACACAACACCCTGAAATCTTTCTCCAGCAGCGTGGAGGACACACACAAACTTTAACACTTAAGAAAGGACCCCCCCCCCAATGATGTATGTACAATATTTTGATGTGAGGTTTATGTCATGACATCTATAACTCATGTCAAAATATTTTGGTGAAAGAAAAGATAAAACAAATGTGGCAAAATGATAACACATTATACTCATGGCTCTACTTTTCCATATGTTTAAAGATTTTCATAATAAGAGAAATTATTCCCAGATGTTCTAATTTCAGGAAGTATATGTAACTGGGAAGTGGGGGATGGGAAGCTTTAGGAGGCTGACAGGGAGGAGATGGGAGATGGAAATTGCTCAATCCTCTTAGGTTTATTATTATTACCTTAATGCCTGATAATAGCAGAGTATGATGATAGCAAACCCTAAATAACAATTCAGTGACATTCCCTATTATTAAAACCCTCCAGGCATGTTCAGTTCTTTAAGCTAGAAGATCTAGTTCTCAATCCTTTTACCTCAAGAATGCTGGGGAGAGAGGAAATATTCACCAGGAAATTTTTTCTTTTCTTGAAGATCATGCCATTTTCTGGTAACCAATTGGTACCAGTTTTCTTTAAAAAAAAAAAAAAAGACAAAAAAATTCATTATTTACTTTGAAAATACTGTTGTCTCATCCTTCAACAGAAAATGCTGACTTTCTGGACTCTTCTTCTGGATTGACACATATTGCAGGGTTTATAAAGTCCTTTCCTTTTGTACTAAGGTAAAAAGATGACCAATTTATTATTCCTCACCTTGTAATTCTTAGTAAGTTTCCATTTTAAAAATAATTTTCTGGAAAGGAAAGTGTTTGTTTGTTGTTTTTTGTTTGCATTATGCTAGAAGCTGTCTTTTACACCAAATTATGTTCCATCTAACAAATTTTTAAAAGGACACTTCAACTCTCCATTCCACCTTTAGATATCAGTTACTAAATTGGATGTGTGACTACCTGACCTCATTTCACTGCTCCTGATCTTTAATATAGTCTCTGTGTATCTTCTAATATGACCTTTCATATTATGTGAAATCTCTGGTCTGGTAGAGTTCGTCAGCAGGTGTTCATTGTTGGCTCTCCATTCTCTGAGAAATGTCTTAGGGTATGGCCAAGCTGGTGCTTTGGAGAGAGGACCCGAGAAAATGGGAGGTGGCTGAGCTGCGCGTGAGCCTTCTGCTGCCCAGATCGACTCCTTCTCCTCAGTGTGCCTCTGTGTGTGAATGAATGGTATTTGCCACTTCTGCTCTGTGGAAGAAGGAGGAGAGAGACTTGGATTTTCAGTTTGAGAAGGAAGTCAGTCATGCACAGGGGATTGGCTTTGGGGTAGTAAACCCCTGTCACCATGCCTGAAGCTCAGAGGAATCCGTGATGGCACTACATGCAGGACCGTGGACTTTGAAGGTAGATACTGACAGATCTGAATCCTGGCTTGGCTGCCTGAGGTTTGCTCTGTTTCTGTTTCCTCATTTGTCGAAAGGGGAACCACATAGCACCAACTTCATGAGGTTCTTGTGAAGTTTAGAAGTGCTCATAAAAGTAATAGACCTTGGACTGGACAATAAATGATAATTATTACTAATAACTGTTTCATCAATGCCTGGACATTTTCATTTTACCATTAACTCAAAGCTAAGCTTTTTTTTTTTTTTTAAAGATTTCTCAATCCTTTCTTCCATTTTTGGACTATAGTATTCATGCTCATCTCCCTTGCCCAAATAAATCTGCTAAAAAAAAGTCCAGTTCTCTATCTCTTTTCATCCCAAGAATCTGTATCTTATTATGTGGATCTCTTACTGTGTTTGGAACTCCACCTCTGTGCTTTTTTGTTTTTTTTTTTTATTCTTTGTCAATTCTGACTTGATCTCTAAGAAGTAGAATGCAAATATTTCTGTCCTTCTAAGTTGAATTTTGTATTTTCTGAATCATGAAGCTGCCCTCCATGTGACCTAGAAAGCCCTTTGATGATCCATATTTAGCTGTATCCATCACTCAACAGATGTCTGGGTAGTTAAAGGCCCCCATGAGCTCCCTCTACATCCTGTGGTTTCAAGTTCCTGAGTTGTTAGTTAAAAAGCTTTCATCTCCACTGCCCCACCCCCCCTTCCCTTATCTATTCCAGGGCAGAGGGACAGATACCTGCTATATTCACTGTAGCTATTAACTCATTTAACAATTATTTACTTATTACCTACCACGCATTAGACACTGGATTAGATGTCATTCTTTTTATCTCCAAATTGCATTTTCCTGACCCGTTTAGAGTAGTCCTTCATGTTTTCTGATTACTTCTCTAGAATCTGCGCTGAGCATCCAATTAAATGGTGTCTTCTATTTGCAGTGTTCCCTGACCCCTGGGAGACTTAAAGGCTTAATTGCAAACTCAGAAGCCTTGCTGTTGTGCACCTGCCACTGCACCCACAGATCTCAGGATAACAGAGGTTTACCGTGGGCTCCACCCAAAGGAGGTTAGTTAGCAGGTGAGGCTGCAGGGCTCTGCTTGTCCTCTTGCACAGTGGACATGGAGAATGAAGTAGTGGCGAAGGTGGGATGCCCAACAAGTTAAGCAGCTAATTTCCAAAAACCTTCGGTTTTCTGTCTTTGGCTTCCCACAGAGTTGCCCATGAGGAAAATTCCTCTGTTTTGTGAGCTTTCTGGATCTTCCCATTAGATAGCATCTCTTGGCATCTGAAAGGCAGCCTGCCATTCTGTTCTCCTGTGGAACACAGATGGCCCAGCCCACGCCTATCACTAATGAGGATCACATGCAGAGCCTTGTTGCTGGAGGCTCCCTTCCTCAACCCCAGCCCTCCTTCCCCAAGCAGGCCAGTCGCTGCTGACCATGGCATTTAAGTCTGAGAAGGGTGCTTGCTGCTCTCCCACTCCCAGAGTTAAATAGGAAATCTATTATGTAGGCCTTGGGAAATGAGTCCCATTCAGCTAGCATTTGAAACATTGATTAAGGGATGGCTGCCAATTTGATTGCAGGAGTGACGTCCTGGCTTCCAGCTGTCCATGGAGGTTGTTGAGTTTAAATGTGGGTGAGCACTGGATATTCTTAAGTAGGAATCTGATTAGATGGCTAGACTGGGGTTGACCAGATAGGAGATCAATTTGTCAATGCCATTTAATCTTACCTGGGATGATAGTAGGGTGGGAAATCATTATATAAGAATGGTAAAGGCACTGAAATATAGAAAAGCATACATACATTTTAATGTGAGATAGATCCATGTCAAGTCCCAGCTCTATCACTTGCTATCTGTCTGACCTTGGACAAGGTACTTCGCCTTTCTATATACTAATTCCTTAGCTGTGAAACAAGTACAATGCCTACATCATAGGCTACTCTATAGGATTAAATGGGCTAGCACATGAAAAGACCTAGACACAGTGCCTTGTACCCGGTAAGTAATACACGGGAATTCCCTTTCCTGCCTCCCCTTCCTGTTTTCTCTTTGTAGTGGAAAGTTGAATGATGCACTCCAGTATGGTGGACTATCAAGTGAGCTACAAACAATGGCTCCATGTGAGATTTTGTACAGTCCTGTTTCTCTCTCTCTCTTTTTTTAAAATCTGAAACTAGATTGATATTTGAGATGTGGGATAGTTTCTTTTTTATTGTAATGGCAAGTCAGATGCAGATCTGGTATTTATGACTGAGAAGAATTCCAAACTACTAGTGTGGATCCAAATAAAATGCAAAATTTCTTTTGGTCTTAATATATGAACTCATTCCTTTGCTTCTCACACCTACTGAGGAGAGATTATTCCCCCTGGCTCCCCTTGAGGGTACCAATGAGTCTGATCAGTCCTCTCATGTGTAAGGGTAGTGTGGTCTAACTGGTCAGGACCCACTGATCCAGAAATCTCTCTGCGAGTCATTTTTCATTCTTTCAGACAATAAGAGATACCAGGGTATGTTGTTCAAAAGGAAGTAATGGACCTTTGATTTAACATTAATGCCTACAAAAAATACTTCAACAGCTTTTTGGACAAGGTAGATCAACCACTGTTTGTTTTCCACCCAACTGGGTCAAGGCTTTCCCTATAAGAGCTGGTGGCTATTCATTCCCTCACAAGGCAGCACTTTACTTTTAGGTCAGGTCTAAGAGCAGTCATTATATTGAATAAAAATAGACCTCTTTACAACCATGCTCTTTAAACCTAGTTCTGTTCTCTGAAACTACACAGATGAAGTCTGATCCCCAGCAACTATCATGTTTTCTTCTTAATTTTTCCCTAAACCCTCCCCCACTCAGGGGACAGAATCTTTGGTTTTTGCTTGAAGGCATGTAGAACAATGGAAGCATGGTAACAATAAAAGCAGTTAAACAGTTATCCTTGGTTGGTGTGGCTCAGTGGATTGAATGCTGGCCTTCAAACTAAAAGGTCACAGGTTCAATTCCTGGTCAAGGTGTGCAAGAGGCAATCTTTATTGATGTGTCTCTCACACATTGATGTTTCTCTCTTTCTCCCTCCTTTCCCCTCTCTCTAAAAATAAATAAATAAATAAATAAATATTTTTTAAAAAAGTAGTTAAACAATCACATAGAAGAAATAAGGAAGTATCATAAGAATGAAGACTCTTGATCCTAGAAAAGTACTTTTTGGAATATTATTGCAGAGGATGATTACTTGCATGTTCCTATCTTTCCCCAAAACAAAAAGAAGTGGTGGGTTTAAGGCAGTGTTTCTCATCTATAGAAGTTGGCAGACAAATAAAGGCCTCTCTGGTTCTTTACTGTGAGTTCTTTGAGTTAAGCCTCTCTATGCATCTCCTAGAAGGAGCTCTATCTAGTACTTGACCACAGACCTCTGTTTTCATGGAGCATTTTATGGATAGTAGTATTTTGCGAAACACCTTTTAAATCAATATGGTTTCAGATAATGCTGTTTGAAATAACTTCCTGATTGATTATTGTTGGATCCTAGAACTGGTGGCCAGGAAACACTCCAAAGTTTCCTCACTTGGTGGGTTGGTAGACTCTTCCTCCCTCCCTCCCTCCCTTTCTCCCCTTAACATTAGCATGAGGCACCCACCTGTCCGTGAGTGTTGAGGAGTAAGGCCTGTGACATAGGGAATCTGGGAGTCTAGATCCTTCCCATCCCATGATTCTATTTTTATGAATCCCAAATTGTGGTAGTGTTCCACAGAAGGTACTAGCTGGGACAGGAGGTAACTGAGAGTTTTGGCCAGCAGGAAAGGGGGATAGAGATGGGAAAAGTTGATGCAATTTTTGGCAGGAGCTGGAACCAAAGCAGCAGGAGAGAGTAAGTTTTAAGACTCTCTGGCAAAGAAACTTCCTAATCTGTCACTGAGTATGTGTAAAAAAGTGATTAGTGTGTCTCTATATTTATCATGATTACTCACAAATATGCAATTTACATAATATATACAGCACATTAAGTACTATGTTACCTTATATAATGTGCATATGTATAATGTATATGTATGTTATGTAACGCCAGTCTGGAGGCTCTTCCAGGTTCTGCCAAGTATTTCCTAATTTATTTGGCAATTTTAACATATCTTTTCCATCTGTGGAAAGAACTCTTTTGAGAGGAGCTGGTCTCTGACCTGAAATATAATCATCCTACTAAGTCTATCTTAATTCTCAACTCAATGGAGGAAACCCACAAAGACCAAGCCGTAATGAGGCACAACTCCTAGCCCATTAGTCCAGGGACAACACAATGTGTCAAAGATTTCCTGCTTTATTCTTTTTATTGCCAGTGGGGTAGAAGCACAGGGGCAGGTGAGAACATGTTTTTGGCATGGCCAGAATCAGAATAAGATGAGGAGTAAGGACTGGATGCTCCCCTGACTCCCTTGTGTGATTTTGAGAAGTTACTAAACCTCTGTAAGCCTTGTTTTCCTCATTGTGAAGATTGGGATGATAATAATACCTTCTCTGCCAAACTCAGAGGCTGCTGTGAGGTCCATTCTGGTGAGGTACTCTAGTAAGAAACCACAGTCACAGTAGGTAAGGGATGAGTTGCAAGGTGAGAATAAACAACACTAGGCTTACTGAAGTTACAAATTGGAGGTGCAATTCCACCCAAGTTTGTTATATTCTGGCTCTAAGGAAGACTTGGGACATGTATCTCAAGCAATATTGTAAGTCCCATGCACTAGTGTAGAGTAGGCAGACGGCCAGTCTCTGACTTGTAAATCTTGAGAATCAGTTTCATCTGTTCATAGTGCCAAGTCTCAACAGCCTTAATGTTGGGGGATCAGGGCTGAAATGCATGCAAAAATTTCTGTAAGTGCCTTAGAACAAGTGACCCCAAACCTGAACCTGCGTTTGTTTCAGAATCAAGTGGTTTCCAAGATAGTACCTGTTGTCATTCTGGAGCTCGTTGGTCCCACCACCATGGATCCCATCACTCAGGAGATTCTTTGGGTGGCCAGTTTTCTCCTTGCCCAGCACTCTGCACTGTTAGGTTGAGCAGGATGGTCCTCAGTTCTGTCCTACATGGTCCTAGAAGACTGCTTTCTTCAGAGTCAGAATCAATTTGTACACACAATCTTAATTTTCCCTTCCTTATGCAAAGCTCCTGACCCAGTGCAAGGAGGTTAGAAGAAGCTCAGCGGAGCAATGTCCAGTGGGCCCAGGTTTCCTCTTGAGAAATCTCAGAGAGGATGGAGGCCTGAGGGAGCAAAGGTGCTGAGGCAAATGTTTCTTCTACCTAAGAAGCTCCACAGGCACTGCCCTTGGGAAAGGAGGGCAATGCCAGCACCAGCTGAATGAAGCCACCTGAGCTCTGCCGTGGCCCCTCTGCGTACTGGCTGGAAGCACCTTGCAGAAGGCACCTCAGTCCTCCTGTGACTCTCCACTGAGGTTATTCCTGCAGCCAGGGTTGTTGCCATACTGAGAGACTCTGATGACCAAGATGAGGTGATAAGTGGAGAGTCTGGTGATCTGTCCAGTGCCTTCAACCCCAGACCAACTTCTCACCAGTTCAGGCCAGAGAGAATGTCTGGGGAGCATCATGAGGCCTCAGTTTCTCATGTGGGCTTGTCCCATCCACATACGTGCTGCACATTCATTTTCCCCTGGCAACCTGGATCCAAGTGGAGTCATTACTCAGCAACCAGAAATGACCCTACTCCAGGATATGTGGGTTATTTTCTTTATTAATTATCTTCTTAAGTGGCACCTATTCCTAAACGACATTAGCCAAGATAGCATGGACAAGTTTCTTAACTCTTCTGAGACTCAGTTTCCTTATCTGACAAATGGGAGAATAAATCCTGCCCAGTATCTATGTCATAGTTGTTTTGAGGATCCAGAATTGAAACTCTCAGTCTCTCTATGACATGAAGCTACTTTCATTTCCCTTAAATCTCACAGTCACCACGGGGCAGTGTGTCTTGACATGGAAATGGTGGAATGGAGAAGTAAAAACCTTCTTTATCTTTCCCATTTTCTGTTCTTATACTACATATTTTTTTTCAGTCAGGGAAAGTCCATCAGTAAATAAATATTTATATCTATAAATATATATGCTACATATATGTACACACATAAGACCATCAGAAGGGGCTTCAGATCATACTGTGGGAGAGCTAGGTGCAGAGAGGCAGGAGGGAACCTCCCGATGGTTTGTCTACTGGTCTCCTCAGCAAACGGCCCTTCCCTCCCGACTTCCCTGCCTTCAGGAATACACTGCCACCAGGGCTTGGAACTCAAACAGGAAACACGCTTTGGCTTGAAAAAGAAAGGAGATGGGGGTGGTTTTTTTCTTCCCTTTTTTACACAATATTATGACACCAATTTGAAAAATAAATCCCCGTTTCTCTGCTTTCCCTCCCAGGTGTTCACAGAACTAAGAAAATAAATACCACATCTGAGGTGTCCTGTGCAGGCAGCTCTGGGGGCTCTTGGAGCCGGCTCTAAACAAACACAGCCACCAGGAGAAGGCTTCAGGAAAATAACAAGTGCCCACTGACAGCGCAGAGAACCAAGAATGGAAACACAGCTTTCCACAGCCTTTCTGCCTCCTCAGCAGGTTCGGGGAGAAGCTGCCGCTCGAAGGACAACCAACAAACCAACGTGCACTGGCTGAGCTCTGCCAAGGGTTATGCTCTGAGAGTCGAAGGCAGTTTGTCTCTTTACAGAGGGATCTTTGTGTAAGTTGTCTGGAACAGGAACTCATTCCCTTGGCCACATCCGATCTCACCACGGGCAGGAAATCTGCAGCCCGCTCCTTGCGAGTGTCCGTGAGGAAACTTGCAGGCTGGTGGGAAGAAAGGGGGGTTCCTTCTTCAATCTCAGAAAGTCTCACTCAAGGCCTTCTGGGAATGGGGAGGTTGCTGCAAGAGCCAGCCATCCTCTAGTGGGCCCTCTGTCCATTTGAAATGTTTTGTTTGTTGTCACTGGTTCCGTTGGGGTGTGTCCCTCATTGAAATAGAATGTATGGCAGGGTGAAGATTTCCTCCTAAAGGGCGGCTTCATTTCCACTGGTTAGAAAGGAGTGTGTGTGTGTGTGTGTGTGTGTGTGTGTGTGTGTGTATGTGTGTTACAGTTTCTTGTTTTCTCTCTTGGTTTAACTGGCAATTGGCACACCCTTTAGTCTTTTGAACGGCTCTTCCTCCTCAGTGAAAAGAAGCTGCTCTTCTGGGGAGGTCCCATCATCATGGGTGCTTGGTTCTTGTGAGTAATTTTAATCTAAAAGCAAAGAGGCAGAAATGAATTAGTGGCATGCAAATCCCAGTAGCCTGTGGAAGAATGGGTCTGAGAGGAAGGGAGGCCAGCTTCAGGTTGGAAGGAGCCCTGTGCAGAAGGACGACTGTCCTTGAACAACTTCGGAATTGGCAACTGGACCCTGATTAGGCCTGGCGTTTAGCACTGCTGGAAGTGAGGGGCGGAAACACTGGGGACAGACAGGTGTGAGCTTCCCACGTGGTAACCAGCTCGCACCTGTCTTGTATCCTTGCTATTCATAGACTCTCAGAATGTCACAGCCGGAGAAGACCTCAGGGACCATCTCATTCAATCCCTCTGCAGGATAGAGGCCTGAGGTCACACAGAGTGGGGCAGAACAGCCAGAGTTCAGTTCTTCCGATTCCCAGCCTCCACTGCTCCTAGCCATTCTTGCTTAGGCAGTGCTGGGATGTCAACCAGTAACTCAAAGTTGACCTCCTGCCTGACCTTCGCCCTAAGCATCTTCATCTGGAGAGTTTCCAAGTTGAGCACCTTAGGTCTTTCCTCTTTTCTTCGCCTTCCAGGAAAGATCTGACTTCTTTTAAAAGCATGTGGGTTTCTTTTTTTTTTTTTTTTTTAAATTTCAGGTTTTATGAGTATTTTCTCCTATAAACTTTAAGTCAATTTGAAGTGGAAAACACAGGTGAGGTCTTATTTTTGCCTTTCTTCCCTATCTTATCCTCAGGTCATGGCTTCATAATGCTTAATCCCTATTTGCATGTGGCCTGGTGAGGTTGCCACATGAATGGTTTGCATTATTAGTCTATCAACAATGTTTATCAAGTATGACATGTGTTCAGAATAGAAAGGTGATGTGGGAACAAGACGCACTTAGAATTGAAAGACCTGGGTTTGAGTCCCGGAACTCCCACAGTTTTGCTGTGAGCCTTTGGAAAAATCCCTTAACCTTCAAAACCAGGTCTAGCCAACTGTAATATGAAGATATTTGTCCCGTTTTTCTTAGAAATTTGTAGTGAATATCTTATGGTAGATGGTCAATGAAAGCCCATTGTAAAGTGTAAAATGGAAAGTAACAGTTAAATAATTGTTATCTTTCATTGGAGGAGAATCTATAAGCCCATTCTTGGGGTTTTTAATCACATTATTGAAAATGACACCGTGACCACAGAAAGCAATACAAGAACTATGGGGACACTCACCAACATGTTTAAATTAATGTAGCATAAACCAAGAGTCAAAAAGAAGTTAGGTAAGGAATGAGAAGAGTCTGAGTGGAGTATTTGAGGAAGAATTTTAAGATCTGAAAAGAAGGGAAGGAAATGTGTTGTTGAAAAGAGAAAAGAAAGGCACTGGGTAGAGGGTCCACGTATGAACTGGTTGAGCGAGGGGCAAAGGATGAGAAATGAGATCAGGGACACAGGCGAGGTAATGGGGAACAATGTTAACTTTTTAAGCTGGAGAATAACATGATAAAAAAAAAGAGTTTGAGGGAAATTATTCAACAAGCGTTGTCAGGGAGAGCTAGAATCGGGGGAGATTCTGGCCAAGGGGGTACTATTGCAAGCCAGGCTTACATTTATATGGCCCCTTATCAGGACATGGAAAGGAAAGGGTGGGACCAAAAGATGTGGCGAATACTTGTGTGATGTAAGCTGAAAATGACTTGTATGTTGGTCCCCACCAGCCTGGAGATCTAGAAGGGGAGTCCATCCTTCTGTTTTGTGGCAGTCACCAGAGAAGAAACCAAGAACATATCAAGCACCGTTTTGTGTTGTGTGCCTTATTATGGGCATTATATTTACTCCAGAGTTTGTGGAAGTGAGGCATAGACTGGGGACTCTGACAGCACTTCTCTGTGGCATGTAATTTAGCACTGTCTGATGGCAGCAATTTGTGGCACAATTCCTTGTTGTAAGCCTTCTCTTACTCCCTCCGCAGGCAAGTCCCCTGAGGGGAAGAACTTCACCTTATTCACCTTGGTATTCCCTGAGCCGGGGCAGTGCTTATTCAGAGCACAAGCTGTGGATGTACTAACTGGTTAGCACACCAAGAAGAGAGAGAGAACGCCCTGGCAGTGAAGAATGGCTATACTTGGGGCAGGGTGGCAGCTGGTGCACTGCCTACATTTCCCGCTGATGGAGCCCATTTTTTTTAGATGATAGAAGACCCTGGCTTCTCCTTTTTCTCCCTCTAGCCCAGCTGTTTATTTGCTTATTAGCACCTCCAGGGCAAAGAGGAGGAAGTGAAACTCAAATCCCTCTCGTTTGGTTTTTCAGCAGTTTTGACAAAGGCCTTGATAGGGTAGGGGTTTGGAGATCCTGGGTAACATGGGATTTTGATGTGGTTTATGATTCTAGTAATACAGATAACTTAGAGTTGACTGTATGTATGCACACTGAAGGCAAGAAATAAGAGAGCATATACTTCTGTGGAGTTAAAGAGATGTCGGTCCCTTACCCCCTTATCCCCAGCTTGGGAGGAGCTAGTAGAGTTAAATAGCAAAGCTCTCATTTTAGAAGACAGTTGGATGTGGCTAAACCTGATTTTTAAATCTCTGATGGAAAGAGAGCATTCATGTTTCTGTAGTTAGAACTCAAATGTCTCTGGTAATTGGGCAGGTCAGGCAATTAACTAAAGCCTGCATGATTTTCTTAAACACCTTTCATAATGTTTACAACATCTGACAAGCACTTGGGACAGTAGCCCCATGTTCTTAGTCCTCTGCTCTGTTACAGAGAGAAGTGATACAGTTGACTTGTGTGATAGCTCAAAACTCATAAAACTACTGCAGCATATAATTCCCCCTTTAAAATGGAGTAAGTTTTAAATTTTAACTAGTGCTGGGAGTTGACTTTGCTTTGGGGGCCATCTTCTGGAAATCAACACATTTTTATTACTTCAAGAAAAGCAATAAACTGAGAGACTTATTCCTGAACGTCGCCCTCTCCGGGCAAATAATTTGAATCATGCCCAACAATATGGCCAATAACCGTTAAGTGTGGACCTTTCCCTGGTCATTTGGGAAGTACTCAAGTCTGCCCTAACTTTAGTTGGAGATAAGTAGAAAGGCACAAACCTGAAAGGTCTCAACTAGTTTTTGTAGCCTTTTAAAAAGTCAAGGAACTATTCCTGCCTAAAGTGAGCCCTGGGGAGGAGAGAGGGGGTTTGCACAGTCTTTCGGGACTTAGCTATTTCTGGGTTCTCCAAGATCGTAGGGCGCCCTGCTTCATAAGAGTGTTTCTGCCACCAGAGGCTCTCAAATGTAGCTGGACAATTGAGTTTTGCTAGGGGTGGAGGAGAAGTCTGGGATTTATTGACAAGTCAGGAAGTTCAACTAGATAATCAGTTCCCAGAGTGTGGTCCCTGGACCAGCAGCGTCAGCATTTCCTGGGAACTTGTCAGAAACACAAAATCTCAGGCATCCAGACCTATTAAATGAGAAAACCAGCAAGCTGTGGTTTAAAAGCTCTCCAGGTTACTCAAATGCATACTCTAGTTTGGGAATCACTAAACTACTTAAGTAGAATCTTTTCAACTTTGGGATGGTACTATTATCTAACTCTAGAAAAAGATTCTTAATTTCAAGGTTCAGATGATGCCGCCTGTGATGTGAGCGCATGGGAGGCCATCTTACAGTGCTGTAAGCACAAGGCAATTTTTAAAATTATGTATATTTTATATACGTATCTTCATAAACAAATACATGCTCATTTTTGAGATTTTAGAAATTATGGGAAAACATTTAAAAATCATCTAGAGGTAACTGCTGTTAACTTTTTGGTATGTTTTTTTCCAATTTGTTCCTGTGCTTCTATGTTTTTAATAAAATTGAGATCAGCTATTTTCATTTAACATTATTTTGCAAGCATTTCTAATGTTATTAAAAATACATTAAATATAATTTTCAGTGGCTGAAAATTATTCTATTTGATGAATTTCACATAGCTTATCTAACCCTATTAAATGAGAAATAATTTCCCCAAATGTTGGGCTTTTAGGTAATTTCCAATTTTTTTTTTTGCTATTATGAATAATATAGAAATCGACATTTTTATACATTGGTTCCTGTATTTCTGGTAACCTGTATTTTACTTGGAATAAATACCAAGAAGTATATGAACAATTTTAAGGGTCCAAGTAAATGAACCAGATCAATGTATATTAATATTTGCAAGGATCTTCTTAATACATGGTTCCAAATGCTTTCCACAACAGCTGTACCAGTGTATACTCTGGCCTCACTGGTTGATGTGCCTGCTTCACCACACCCTTGACAACAATGACTGTTACAGTATCTTTAAAAGAAAAACAAATTGTGCTAATTTGATAAGTGAAACATGGCAGGGTTCTCTCACTACTTTAATTTGAAAGTCTTTCTCCCCCTTTTTCTTAATTTGTTATATTAAATATTATTTCATAGGTTTATTAGGCCATGGCATTTCTTCTGTGAATTGTCTATTCACAACTGCATTCCTAGTATTTCTCCTGCTGGTTTCTAAGAGCTCAGATTACGGGAATTAACCTGCTTGTTGAGATAGCTATTGCAAACATCTTGTCCTTAGCCTTTTAAAGATGTATATTGATTCTTGACTTGTAGAGTCTTAAATTTGTTAATAGTCAACTTGTCATGTTTTCCTTTTTAGAAAGTCCTTGCTCACAGTGTGATTATAGTCACTTATATTTTCCTCCTAGATAATAACATTTAATTCTTTAATAGAATTGGAGTTTTTTTTTTTGTTTTGTTTTGTTTTGTTTCTGGAATATAGTTTGAGGTGAGAAGCTGGTATATAAAGACATTTTCCCAAACAGGCAATTTCTTGGATAGCATATGTTAAACAGTCCATTCCTTTCAAATTAGTTTATGATCTTCCTTTTTTCCTTCATTAGTTTTTATGTAGTAGGATCTCTTAGGACCCTCCTCTGTACTGTTGATTTATCTATACAATATTGTGCCAACTGTTGTGGCTTTATAGCTGTTTTAATATCTTGTGGGAAGCCCTTCCTCATAGTTCTTTCATTAAATGCCTTAGCTATTGCATTGTTTCTTTAAGTTAAAAAACAACTGAATTTTGTTTGGGATCTTATTTAGAAACATGTTTCTAAATTCAATTTTTTAATATTTGTTAAGTTTTTAAGTCTTATTCATTTATTTTTATATCTCTCATATTATGTAATATGTTAAAATAAAATAAAACCATTACTGTATTTATATTTATATTATATTTATTATATATTTTTTATATTTTAATACCTATGATCATTGGTTTTCTCTTTTTGAATTTAGGTTTTCAAATATTTGACATGGTTAAAAAACTAGTTCTATATATTCCTGTTTTTTAATTATTTAATTTCTACTTCTATCTTTATTATTTTCTTCCTTCTGCTTCTCCTAAGTTTGTTTTACTCTTGTTCTTCTACTTTTTGGAATTACTATTACTTTTTATTATCCTTTTTAAATGATGGATGCAGATGAGACTCTGAATATGCTTCCAAATGTGGTTTAGGCTGTATTCTCTAAGTTTTGAAGGAGAGGTTTCTCATTTTTATTATTTTTAAAATAATCAGTAATGGTGGTTTTGATCTCTTGAACCTGCTGTTCTTTAGAAAATTTTAAAATCTCTGAGTAATTAAGTTTTGTTTGTTTATTCACTTAATCTTCTATTATTTCTAGTTTTATTGTTTCATGATCAAATAAAATAACCTTTATGATTTCTGCTTCTGGGTTTTATATAGTTTTTTTGTAAACTAGTCTTAACCTATTAATTTGTTTATAGGTTATAGAATTATTTCATCCAAGTTTCATGTCATTGATTTTTTTGCTACTTGATCTTGAAGGCAGAAACAAATATTTTAAAGCCTCTCAATGCCTGTATTTCTGTCAACATTTTCTGATATATCAACTTTTTCTTCAGAATATATATTGATATTGTTTTTCACATTATATATTTTGATTTTGTTATTAAATACCTAAAATTTTATGACCATTACATCTCATAATTTAGTGTACCTTTTATTAAATAAAATTGACCTTTTTTATTCCACTGTATGTTTTTGGTTTGTTGGAAGGTTAACTTGTCTAAAAATAACATAATCAACAATATTTTTTCTTTCAATTTTTCTGTGTGATAAGTGATACGATAGATATACATGTTCTTTTGTGTCAGGTGTCTCTCTTATAAGAAGCATGTCATTAGATTTTAACCCAATATGAGATTATTGTTCTTTATTAAAGGACTTGAACCTATTTTTTTGTCACTATTGATTTCTTTAATGCTTAACCTTTTCATCAAACTTCAAAAAATTTTAAATGTTTGCTTGTTATTTGCTTTCTGTTTTTGCTACATTGATAAGGTTCATATGTTTTAAATTCTCCCAGATTTGAAAGATGTGTGCCTTGCTTTTAGTTTTGCTAAGTGATTATTTAGTTATTAAAATTTTCTTCTGAGTAATACCTTTAATTATCAAAGTAAAAAGATACAATGAAAAATGTAGCATATTTTTATTAGTCCTTCAACAATGTCTCTTAAATGCTTTCAGTCTTGGTTAATTGGACCTTAGGTTTGGGATCCAGGTAAATAATGTTTACATTGTGTATCTTCTCTTGCAAAGAATGTTGCCATCTGCATTTATTTGTATAACTAACAGTTTTTAAAAACTTCATTTTAGTTTAACTGGTTTCAATTATTACCAGAAGTTCTTTTGTGCTGTCAGGTCCCACCATTAATCTTTTTATTCTGAACACTTCTTAGTTGCTGTGTGCCTTCAGGAAAATGTTTCAAGAAGTATCCTTCTGTTTTAATTTTTGTAAGTTTAAGAATGATTTTCTAATGCCTCCTGTTGGGGACTGAATTGTGCTCCCCTCCCCGCCTTTTCTATGTAGGGGTCCTAACTGTCCATGTGACCGTGTTTGGAGATAGGACCTTTAAGGAGGTAATTAGAGTTAAATGAGATCATAAAGGTGAGACTTTAATCCAACAGAACGGGTGTCCTTACAAGAAGAAGACGCCAGGACTGCACATGTACAGAGAAGGGGCCATAAGAGGACACAGTGAGAAGGTGGCTGTCTGCAAGTAAGGAAGAAAGGCCTCACCAGAAAGCAACCCTGCCAGCCCCTTGGTGTTGAACTTCCAGCCTCCAGAACTGTGAGAAAATAAACTCCTGTTGTCTAAGCCACCCTGTCTGTGGTATTTTGTTATGGTAACCGAAGCAGACTAATATACATGTACATAGGGATCTCCATGGACCGCATGTCATAAAACCACTGGGTCACGATGTTTTTCACAGTAAGTTGTAATCTCTGAAGGGTGGCATGGAGGGTGGAGGTGGGTTAGGAGAAGTATTTGGCTATTTCAAAAACCAGTGCTTGGGTTTAGGGGGATGGCAATACAGTTTTGTTTTCACTGAATCGGGTGGGAGAAGACTTGATTTATTCCAGTGTTTTCTTTCTTTTTCTTTCTTTCTTTCTTTCTTTCTTTCTTTCTTTCTTTCTTTCTTTCTTTCTTTCTTTCTTTCTTTCTTTCTTTCTTTCCTTTTTTTAGACAGGAGGAACTTGGATAGCTATTTCTCAATTTAGCTCCATCAAATTTATAAGTAGTAGAAATTTCCTCCATCTGTTCTAATTCTAAGAAGGTGGTAAGCTGTTACTAGTTTTTGGTATAATGTGTTTTCTTTTTTCTTAGTCTTCATAGAAATATGAGACTGAATTAAGATTTTGCATAAAACTGTCTACTTTTGATAACCTTTACTGAAGATGCCATCTCGACAGTCTCTGTCTCTAGGGGCCAGATCTATAACTTGCAGAAGTTACATGGAACAGAGTTACAGAAATACACCTATAGTTGAGGCCCAGTAGAAATCTCATGGAAACACTTTTCATGTGGAAGACCACTTGATGTTCTCTGAAGGGCTCAAAATAGCAAGTTATTGAGGTATTTGCATATTCCACCAGAGTGAGAAAGCTTAGAAACATTACTTTTTTTCTTTTGAGATCTGTACATACATGATAGTATGAGAATATTACTAATGCAATAGCCTCATGAACACCCTGTGCCCTGAACACCAGGACAATGATCTCTCTTCATCACAGGGTTTCTAGCTGGGTTTCTAACAGAGAAGCAACTAAGAAGAAAGGATGCGTGGCTCCTGTCGTGGTGCTGAGTAGAGAGCTAACATAGGTATGATGAATCAGGGAGTTATGATGTCCCCTTTGTTTATGTTTGTTCATTTGTTCAGTATTTTGTTCACTGTTCAACAAGTATTGCGCAACTATCAGAAAAGCAGGCACCATGTTAGGTGCTGGGTGAACACTGTAAACAAAACAGATAACTCGTGTAGTTACTCTCAGTGGAGTTTTTCAGACAGGTCCTCAAGGCTGTGGGGCACCCACAGTGACTGTGTCCATGCATTGCGGGAATTCTCCCCCAGGAGCCCCCGTGGGTGACTGGTTGGAAGGTGTAAGTTAGGTGTGCGGGTCTGACTTCCACATAAAGAAGCCTTTCCTAACAACGAGACTTGCTGATCAGCAGAACAGGCTGCCTTTTGGGTGGTAAGTTCCCTGCCACTGGAATGATGCAAGCTGAGGTTGCCAAGGATACTGCAGATGAAGTCTCAGAAGAACTGTGAGCTCTTTGAAGATGGGTCCATGTCTCATTCTGTTTTGGAACTGGTGCCTCTCAGCGCTTGGCACATAGCAGGTATTCAATAAAAGCTTGGCAGGTAAATGAATGGATGGATGAATAAAGTGGAAGAGAGGCTGCAATAGATGATTCCTCAAGGCCCGTGCAACTCTGAGATTCAGCAATTTCACATTAAGTCAGTGCCCCCAAAGGGTCCCAAATAAAGCTTCTCACCCTCAACTCAAAGAACGGCAAAACTTACTGTGCAAGGCGGCTGCATCCAGGGCTCTCCATCCACTTGCATTGGCAGCAGCTTGTTCGTCCTGGAACCCCAAGAACCGATATAACACAGTGAGCGTCTCAGAGTCAGAGGACCAGGGTTGTCCCTACTAGGGAAACAGAAGTGGGAAGACCTTATCTGCTCAGCTAGGAGTGGTTCTCTAAGACTCTCCTGGAGGGTTGCTAAAACTAGATTCCTGAACCCACCTCAAGGATATTGACTCACCAGGTCCAGGAGACTGCATTTTGGGAAGTACAATGGGTAATTCTGTTGCTTTGGTTCTCCGACCCTACTTTGAGAAACACTGCCCTGGGTGAGCAGAGAAGTCCACAGAAGCCTGGGAAACAGTGGCCAACAAGTATGGCGGCCCTACTGCTGAGCAGACCCTCAGCCAAACAATCAGCTGGAGGGCCTGCAGATGGTGCCAAAAACTTCACTGTGAAATGGGAAAGGTTATGAAATGGAAAAAGGCCTGGTTTCCATACTGAGTCATGTTTGTGTCATGTCAATGATGTAACGTCTCCAACCTGTACAAGGCCAGCTCAGGTGTGTGTCTTGCCTTGCCCCAGATTCTAACGATTCCCTCATTTATCTCTTGAACAACACTACACTCTGTGGTTGCATGAACTGTGGACCTGGCTTAGCTGGGAAATAGGGTCCCTGGGAATACTGTCCTAATTGGCAGGAGGAGAGGAGAGGAGAAAGTGTTGTTTTCTTGCTGGGAACAAAGCTTCTCTGGCATAAGGATTGGTAAATGAAGAGAGACGAGGTCTTCGGACTTCCTTTGGTTGGAGAGTTGTGAATCTGCACTACATCAGCTTTGGGAGAAAAGGCAGGTCCTTGCTGAGGCTTCTGGTCTGGGTGAACAGGGAACAGTTGCTACCACTGGCCAGGAAGCCCTCAGCTGGCAACTGCCTTGTTTTGGAAATTATAAAATGAGGAAGGCAAGTTGTGTTTTAATGTAGATGACTCTTGGACTGACCCTGGGGCTATTTAATGATTGAAAAAACAACAGTAAACCTAATATAAAAACAAATAATAAGAAGAGAGAGTGAGTTTTTGTTCTGGGGGCTGAGGAGAGAATCTGGAAAATGCCCAGGAGGATGAGGTTCCAGGCTCACCCTCTCTGTTTCTTTCTGGAAACAGGTCTATTGCAGAGAAAGATAAATCCCTCCCTCTTTACATAGTTGGTTTTTTTTAGTTTTTCTGGGATCAAGATGTTACATTGTCTGTTATCTAATTAAGTTGTAGCTTAGATGTACAGCTGACGGGACTGGATGGGGAAGGAAGTGCAGAGATTAATCTGGAAAACAGGAGCCCCAGCACAGCAACAGCCCAGTGAGAAAGACAAGCAAAGCTTTAGGGGAATAACAGAAAAGACAGGGAAACTACAGGGAAAGAATGAAGAAAGCAGGTTAGTGGGATAGACCTTCAGCTAAGAGACATCAGGGAACAAGCTCAGGGGATCATTCTAAGGGATGCAGGGGAGGGTCAAGGGCAGAGTTTCTGTAAATGTGCTCTGAGGACACTTGCCTAAGAGGTTCTGGGAGAAAAGGGTTCTGTGGTCAAATAACTGGAAAACCTGCATGCTGTGGTCCCCTCTAGGAGATCCCGAAGGCACACTACTAGATTTGATCCGTAGAAATTGAACGGGAAAGGGAAAGAAAGAAAGAATTCTGAAATAATCAGGTGGAGAAGAATTTGATTAGTTGCACTGATTAAACAGAAGCAACTGAAATCAGAGGACCCCCTCCTTTAGACTCCTTCTCTTTTAGAAGCCTGCAGCGGCCGACCTGTGTGATCCATACCCCGAAGGTCATCATCCTCTTAATCAATTGTGATGGGTTTTCTGATGTTGATGGTTTAGCTCCACAAAGATATATAGGAAATAGTGTTGCTACAGCTACTGTCTAAGAAAAAGTAGAGAGAAAATCTGTTTTTTTGTCAGAGTGTACCCTCTGGCATATATCTAACCATATATCTAATATTTTACTGTATTTTGCCATGTAAAATGTGCAGCCATGTTTTTTGGCCCAAACTTTCAGGAAAAAAATCCTTGATTTTAATTTTTTTTTAAATTCAATTATTTATATACTTGCCTTTTGTATTATTTTTAGCATTTATTTTTGAACATATTGTGGTACAAGAAATTTTATGTAACAAATAATTGTAAAACACAGGAACAGATACAAAGTATTCCAAATATGATCCATGTATAAAGCACATCTTTATTTTTCCCTCAAAAATTTGGGCAAAAAAGTACACATTATACACAGCAAAATACGGTAATTTATAAAGATTAAAAAGTCAAGGAGTCTTACACTCCTGTTAAGAGAATTTCACCAATTCATTCTCAGAAAACAGCAACCTGGTTGTGTTGGTCCCACTAGTTTATATCCTGGATGATTACATTATATCCAGTTTGGGAAATGGGAAAGAAAGACATTCTTAATAAGCATTATCAAGCTTCTGTCCCCCATGCTTTCTGCATTCAAATCTAGGAAGGTTGGGAGACGTGGGGGCTGCTGGGTAAGGAGGAAGCATACCGGACGGTGACAGAGGAACACTGGGCCAGCCTCCTGCCCGCACTCTTCAGGCCGGTGTAGATCTGCCCCATTTCCATGGCTCCCTCCAGCCCCACCACTTCGAGAAGCTGGTCACTGAGGTCTGCAGAGTGAGACAAGCAAAAGCAGTACATACACATCTCTGTGTTCCTGACAGGGTTTGGCTGAAGGTCTGGTCCCTAGATGGCCAGCTCAGATCTGTCTGTATCTCTTCCTCTCCCACCAAGCAGCATTTTCATACTCATCCTGAATAGGGAATTTCTTCAAAGGCCATTATATATATCTTCTCATGAACAGAAAACCAGTTCTAGGGGGAAAAGGATCTTCATTCAGAACATTAATATGAATCTAATGAATAGGTTGGCATATGAAGAAACTTCTTCAAATGTGGAGTGACATTAATGATGAACCAGCTATTTCTGAAATTATTTTCAAGCTAAAAAGACATTGGATTGGGATGAATATAGGAAGGAATGTCGATGAAGTCGTTACCCATAGCTGGACCAAGTTTCTCTTCTCTGAGTGTCTGAATAACATCTTGGCCCTCCTGACGATGACTGACGGCTAATTAACCTCAGTTCTGGCCTGTGGGGAGCCGGTGGCGAGCCAACCCCCTTGGGCATCCTTGGGGAAATCAATGACCTCTTTCAGGACACCAGGTGCCCCATGTGAGCCAAGGAAAAGAATATTTCGCCTACACCAGATTATTCTGTGCCCACAGGAGGAAAAGAGGAACAGAAAACATTAGTCTCCAGCCCAGAGTCACATAGTATCGACGGCCTCCCACAGCGGCAGTTCCTTCTGATTCGGCACCTGGAAGGTGTCCTTCTTTTCAAAGTTCCTGAGGCTTAGGCTGGGCCTGCCCAATTTCTTGTGAAAGCAATGGCAGGATTAGATTTGATGTTGAGCCCAAGACTCACTTTTACAGCACAATTTTTATTTATTTAAAACAAGAGGCAAAATAAAAAGGTAGATTCTTTAAAAGCTTCAATTCCTTCACCTACTAGGGCAAAGGTACTTTTCTCATAGGTTGTAGCTAATCACTAACATCCTATTAACATCCACAAACTAGAAAATTGTGTCTATGTTAATGCTTTTTTTTAAACAGATAGTTTCTGTCTTCTAAGGGACCTCCTGATATATTGTAATAGGGTTTGTTAGCATTGGCAAGTAGGGATTTGGGTTTGTTTTTACTTCTTTTTGTTTAAAAGACTATTGGATTTGTTTTTAATTTTTTTTTTGTTTAAAAAACATTCTTTTGATGGATATATCTAGTGAAGATAGTTAAACAAACTGTCTTCACTGGAACCATTGGGCTGACCACAAATGGGTCAACTGACAGGTACATAGCTTTCCCCCTCCACATCGATTGACACTCCTTCTCTGGTACTTTTCTTTTTGTCACATCTATGAAAAGATGCTGTCTCCTTAAAGTCTCCATCTCATTTGGACTTGGAACAAGATGTCACGAAAGGGCAATGTTTATTTAGGAGAATGCTCCAGACTCTCTTAAGGAGTTTACTTCCAATAAACAACACATGTCTCAACCTCTAGTCACTTAATTAGTTCCCTTCTTACCAAAAAGCGTTAAATAAGCATTGGATACTCCTAGCTTACTGTGTCATTTCAGCAGTGTCTGTGAAATGAACATGGTGGGCGGAGAGAGAAGACAGTAGGGGGAGGGGGAGGAGCGAGAGAACGGGGAAAGGGAGGGAGAAATATATAGAGTGTGTCTAGGGTTGAGGAGGGTGGAGGAGTTGGTTATATTGGGGTAGAAGAAAGGAGGAGAAAAGAGAAGCAGAACTTTAAAGTTTATCTAGTGGCAGGGAGAGACTGATGTCTTATAAAGTGTTGCTTGTTGTACAAGTCTTCAGGATCTGGCAGAACTGTGATAGTTCAATGCTTTCCTTCTTTGAAACATTCCCTGGTAACATGATGTTCTGAGAAGCAGAGGACTTAATGGTCTCAAGTTTTTCAGCTTTTACAATGTCTTGGTCTTTTAAGAAATTTTCCTGTTGAATGGCTTTAACTCTAAAGTTGTTATCACTTCCCACACATTACCTTGCAGTTATCACTTCCCACACATTACCTTGCTTCCTGTCTCTAGAAGAGAAGTAATGAAGGCTGATCTCATCAGCATGGTGGGTGTGTGGGGGGCGGGGGCTTGCACAAATGTGGGACTGAGGAGATACATGCAGAAGCTAGGATCTTGGTACACCTTCTGCCATTCTGCCTTTGGATTTGTACTCTGAATCTTCCTTGGCATAAAGAAGCTAGGATGACGCCTGTCTACCACTGAAGGGAGACTTGACTGCTCTTCTATTTCTCCACCATTGCTTAACTGATTTTTCTTTCAACTTCCTAAATACAATACCTATCGGGAAGTTCTGAGGGAAAGAAACTTATGGTATTTATCTCTGTTTCCCCAAATTTATTGGACCATGAGACTCTTCTTTTGTGTAGTACCTGTAAACAGTCCATGGTAGTTTTCTTGGGGACACACTTTGGGAAATTCTGGTGTCACTGAATTCCCTTTACTTTTCCCAGCACAGAGATACTTAAGCGCAAATTAAACGTGGTATTGAAATGAAACAGAACAGAGTTCAAGTCAATGACCAGGCACGCAGAACAATTAAATGTTCCGAACTCAGAACCCAGGATCAGGGCAACCGGTATACCAAGTATCTGTTCTACTTTAGGTGCCAATGATTCAGAGTGTGGTTTTGGCAATTCATATCATCTCCATATTGTCTTCACACTCTTTACCTCATTAATATTTAAGATGCAACGTGTATGTACCTGAGTAAACAGGAAGTAATTTATTCACTTATTTATTCATTTAATGGTTACTGAGTAGCAACCAACTGCTAGGCACTCTGTTAAGAACTAGAGATACAAAATATTTTAGTTTTGAAGGATTTTTAGCAAGGGCAAGAAAAGTATTAGGTGGAGAAAATGCTGTAATTAAACAATAGGAACAAGGAGGCCTGTGTAACTGATTCTGACTGGCTAAGGTATGGAAGGAAGGTGTCACTGACCTTTAAGGAAGGTCTTGAAGGATGAATACCAAGGTAATTTGCTGGGTTAAGAAGGGGAAAGAGAAAGGACAGTCCAGGGCCAGGGATGGTCATGCATAGTACTGGATAGTTACAGGGTGCACAAGGACATTCATTTAGCAATGAACCCATTTGGCAACTTTGCTGAAGAACATAAAAAATATTTCTCCCTTAGGACAATTGCTGTCCAGAGATTTTCTTTTTTTGACAGAATTACAAAAAGAGGCTCCCTGGGCGGGGCATAAACTTGTAGCAACCATAGAGCTGGGCGTTTCAGCACTGTTCTTGGTAACAGGGCCTTGTGCAGTGAACACTAGTAATATGCACTCTCCAAGAGAGGAAAAAAATGAACAGGGAAATGGAAAAGGGTCTAGAATGTGGAAGCAAAGGAGGAAGAGCAAGTACAAAAGCATCTCTGATTTGGCCCACTTGACGCAGTCTCTAGCACGCAGTTTTATAAATGCAAATCTGCTTATGTCATGCCCATACCAAAAATCCTTCGGGCAGAACACCACGGGCAGGGAAGAGAGGATGAAATGCGCAGTCTTTCACACCTGTGATGAGAGTGGAAGCTGGCAGAAAACTTTTTGGGAAGAAACTTCCATACTGCTCACTCATTAATTTCTTTCTTGATACTGATAACAAGAAATCATTGACAGAATCTAAGTTTATACAGACATGAACATTGTATCATCATTTAGAATACAGGCATACCTTGTTGTATTGTGCTTTGCTTTATTGCCTTTTTTACAAATTGAAGGCAAGACCCTCTACCGACAAAAAGATTGCCTCCTGCTTTATTGCAATACTTGCTTATTTTTGTTGTCTGGAACTTAACCTACAATATCTTAGAGGTATGCTTGTAGTGGAACCTCCTCCTCCCCCACTTCCATCTGTAGGGAAATAGTTAAATAAATTACATGGTATCCATATGACAGAACTTTATGCTGCCATTAAAATATTTAAAAAATTTCAAAAGCCTTCAATATGTATATGTTATAATGTTAAGTGCAAAGAGGAGACACAAACTTACTTACACAGCCTGCTCTCAGCTGTGTAAGAACATGCATAGAAGAAAAGGAGAAATTATTCTAAAATCTTAACAGTGGTGAGTTCTGGGGTATTAGGTTAAAGGTGATTGTTATTACGCTTTTCTAAGTGTTTCATGTTTTTTATAAGTAGGTATTAATGTTATTATTTAAAAGCCTTAAAAAAAACCCCTATCAACTGTTCTTCATACTTATAAAGATGATGTAAACACCCTGGCTTGACGCCCAAGGCCCATCCCCATCTGGCAAGAGGCTGTCTGTGCAGTTTTATTTCCTGACACTGTAGGGTTAGGTACCAGCTCCAGACATACACAACATGTAGTTCCTCAGGTGAACCCTACTGTTTCCCTCCTTTGTGCCACTCTGTATGCTGTACTCCTGCTTGAAATGCCCTCTTCCACTTTTCATTGTCCATCAAAACTCAGCTCAAGTGTCATGAACTTCAAGAAACCTCCCTGGATGTCAGTGCCTGCAGTTTGATTTTGATACTTCCTCTTCAAACTTGCCCAGGCAGATATGGTCCAAGACAGAGCAAGGGGCTGGATGTGTTGCTGCCGTACCATAGGGTCTGGTTTGAAGAGGGAAAGAGATGAAGGACTGGATGAAAAGGGGGAGGGCAAGTAAGAACCCAATCAGTTCTAGGAGCAGGTGCTCTGAGACGGTGGGAGAAACAAGGTTGGAAAGAGGTGCTGTGAGCAGCGCTAGTGCATGACAAGTCCCACCTGTGGCCCCAGTGGTGGGCAGTCCAAGTAGAGGGAGGTGATAAGGATGAGTCAAGGAGAAGTGAGGCAAGTCCAGGAGCTCCTCAGCTTTGCAGCATGTTAGAGTTACAGCAGGTCCTCAAATAATGTCATTTTGCTCAGCGTTGTTTCATTGTAATATTGATGAAGTGAAATGCCACAGGAACTTAACTCTTGTGTACATCAACTAGTCTATGGTAAAACTGGTTTTATTATATGTCATTTCACTTAAAGTCACAGAACCTATCGATGATGTGA